GTAAAGTTGGAGCTGTAGTGCAGATATTTCTGATGTCTACCTGTACCTAACCTGCACTGGTCCATGTACTGGGCATATGCATGTTAGCGTAGGTAAAGTTGGAGCTGTGCAGATATTTCTGATGTCTACCTGTACCTAACCTGCACTGGTCCATGTACTGGGTATATGCATGTTAGCGTAGGTAAAGTTGGAGCTGTGCAGGTATTTCTGATGTCTACCTGCACCTAACCTGCACTGGTCCATGTACTGGGTATATGCAGGTTAGTGCAGGAAAAATTGGAGCTGTGCAGGTATTTCTGATGTCTACCTTCCACTAGCCTTCACTGGTCCATGTACTGAATTTGTATATTCATGTGGGTGTATGTGGATTATCATTAGCTGCAATAACAGTCGACACTTGTGCAGTGGTTTCTGCACAGTTGCAGTGAGATCCGTACTTCCTAAATCCTAAGTAATACAGGTAAAATTTGTCTGGTGCAAGTATGTTTCAATGTTACCTGCACCAATGCAGGTATGCGGAAAAAAAAGGTATTTCGAGCCCTGATCATCAAGTACATCAAACTGGGCTATCCTATTCAACTACATCGCGATACAGTAGATTTTTGTTACTGCTATACAATGAGTTGTAGAAACGTTAGGAACGGCAGATACCTATAAATAATAATTATTGTTCTGTTCCAATATGGACACACCTTGTAAACAAAATAGTCTTCAGCACGTAAATGAAGACAGGGCAGTGCTAGGTTCTAGTCAAATTGATAAATCCATGGTAATAGCTACATATTGTGCGCCCTTCATAAAGCCAATAGCTGAAAAAAAACTCTCAGGGAAAACTGAGACCTTGTCATTTTTGACAGACATTCTTGAGGACATTTTCTCAATTTCTCAAACACTAGATCACATACTAGACAGTAAGTCTTCGACGTCTGGCTCCCCGTCCTCTCGCCTGTCGACGCCGTAGTGCACCAGTAAGGCTGCGGCGATGCAGGCGGTGAAGGCCAGCACGCTGGAGCACACCGTCACGGAGATGACGCTGCCCACGGCGGCCACGATGGAGCCCATACTGGCGCCGATGACGATCTGAGACAGCTGGTTTTGGGAGGACACCAGCGCGCAGTCGATCCCCATGCCGCGGCGCTCCGACCCGTCCACGCCGGTACGGATGTACTGTGGACGAAAGGGGGAATCTTCGTGTGAAACAAAGTCAGTAGTTTCCTAACGTCACTGTTATACATTCAAGACCTCGACCACCAACCAACCAACCAACCAACCAAGGTTGCCGGTAGCTTTGAAGCAGTTTGACTAGATTCAGGCCACACCTACTTTTCGATAAGACTACAATCATGCCTTCAACTACCAAAGTTATCAACGACGGATTGAGGTGTTCTTCTCTAGGACTATGACTAAGTTGGGGCATCATCACTATTAGACAATGCTTAGATGTTCAAAGGTTCGGTGTAACAGGTCGTTGAGCTGCCACATACAGTCATGCGTTAGAGGCCAGGTGTTTAGGGTTAGGGTTGGTATAGAGTTAGGGTAGAGTTTTGATCATTATTCAGGGCTAGGGTTAGACTTGTATTTGGCAGGATCATGTACAAATGTATATGGCTTGACACCGGGTCAGTCAGCTGCCGTGTATCAGCGAAGCAGGAGTGTTACGCCGAAGAGCGGTTATACCGACTATGCAGATAGCACCAACCTAAAGTTAGCCTTTTATTCAGCCCTCTATTCGCAGCCTTCGATTGGGCCCTCAATTCGACTTGGCGCGCACGTAGAAGGCTGTCTACGAAAAAGTGCGCACCAAGTCGAATCTAGGACTGAATCGAAGGCTAACTTCAGGTTGGTAAGATAGCCACAGAAAGGTTTGAAAGCAAATTTGAAGTGCCGTACCGTTTGACTGGTGTGGTACCGTGAGATGAGTTTGTAGGGGATGTTGTTGAGGGTGCCGTACATAATCCCCATGACCGGACACAGGAAGATGATCTCCCAGCGCACCTCCGTCAGCTGGGCGATGATGGCCATACTGCCGATCCCTGCGCCGAACGCCAAGTACCCGAAGATGTACATGGTCCGGTACGACAGGTGGTTTAGAATCCGCCCAAAGAGCACTGTAACAACGGGACAAAACAATCATTCGATGAGTGAATCAAAATATCATCAAAATCATAAAAAAATCATCAAAATCATTCTAAAAATCATCAAAATCATTTATTTTTTAAAATCATGATAAAATCATGAAATGAAAATCATTTTAAGATCAAAATCATTCTAAAGATCATCAAAATCATTGATTAAAAAATTATTATAAGATCATCAAAATCATTTGAAGATCAGAAAAGTTATTGATTTGTTAAAAATCAACATAAAATCATCGACATCATTTTAAAGATCATCAAAATCATTGATCTAAAAATACCACAAAATCATAAAAATCATTTAAGACCATCACAATCATTGATTTGAAGAAATAATAGAATCATCAAAATCATAACAATCATCAAAATTAGGGAATTAAAATCAGCATACGAAGAGACACCAAATTAGCTTAAGGTTGTAACGTTGAGTACTGATCAAATAGAAGTTTCTAAGTGGAGTAGAAATAGGCGAAAAATGAGATTAATAGCTGTGGATTAAGATGTACCAAACCTTAAAAATTCAGCATAAGGAAGGTTCAAGAAACACCAGATGATTCAGAATAGAGTCTGGAGATAGTTTTGAGATGTCCTGTTGAGATGTTGAGTCACCTGCCGACCACAGTGTTATACATGAAGACATGTCACCGGTACCTGAAGATGTTAGTTAGAATCCATGTGTTAGGTATAAAGCTACCACCAACAACCATTTGTCTCTAAGATCAGGACACACACACAGACAAACGCTCACACACACACAAACATAACACACAAAAACACACACACAAACACAGACACAGACACAAACACACACACACACGCTCAGACACACACACACACACACACACACACACACACACACACGCTCACACACACACACACACACACACGCTCACACTCAAACACACACACACGCTCACACACAACACAGACACACGCTCACACACACACACAAGCATAACACACAGACACACACACACACACACACGCTCACACACACACACACACACACACACACACACACACACACACACAAACACACACATACTGACAAACGCTCCACACATGAAACATACATGCCACCTTACTCATTTTTATTTTGTAGATCTGAATATTCCTTTATAGTATTTGACGTTAGTTCGAAGCTTTTAAGTTGTGTTACGCCGAGGGGCGGTTATACCGGCCATATCGTAATGCAAATACAGATACAGAAAGTATTGTTAGGATGACCCCAATATGTGAAACATATAGGCTGATTTTGCATTCATGTGAGGTAGAAGTTTGTAGTGATAGGGAATCTGATGCTTACTTGAGTAGAGAGCACACGAGGCTGCGTTGATGGTGAGCCCCCAGCAGCCGATCATCACGCCCTGTTCGTACAGGACCCTGTCAGGACTGTCCACCGGGGCGCTCGGGTTCCCCTTGTACACCCCCCGGCCCATGAAGTCGGTGAAGAACAACATGACGGACAGGAAGCTCGCCCAGCCGAGGAAGTGGGACACGCACAGGCAGGCCAGTTCCTTGGGCATCCGGAGGATCGATCT